GGGGGGGGGGCTTTCACCTTTGACGAATTGATTTTCTTGTTCATTTCCTATACTGGCAAGCATCGCATCGTGGTGATGTTCTGCTCCTAACAAAACAATAATTTACCGGAAGTAATCAGTGCTACCGTAGTCCTACCGTACCCAGTTGAAAGCAGCGATTATCGGCATCCAGTATCGTCATGTTAGTTCGTGTTATTGCTCTATAGCATGACTGAGTTGCATCCATGTAAAGCCAGTGTTTTGAACAATAGCGAACGGCAGGCCGATGTAATCGTTTCTCGCAGATTACGGTAGCTGGGGCATCACAAGCTGCGTTTCGCCATTCTCCACTTGACAACAGATGCACACACTTTCGTTCGCGATCAATTAGTTCGACGCCATTACCGTAGGCCCAGTTGTTATATCGGACTATTTTGCCTAAAATTTTTTTTGACAATCTCTTGTTGGCTCTTCTCTTTTCGGAAAAGGCGGAGTAACAATAATAATTGCATACCGTTAGGCCATCGTAGCACGAATCCTGGAGCAAATAATCCCGCTGATCCATCAACTATATCAAAACGAGCTCTTGCATCAATCCATGCTGCTGAGTGCGGCTTCATTAGAGCTGAAATCCTGTGAAATATAAATGTTTTGAAATTATGGGAAGAAATATCAATGTTTGTAAACATGAGAAGAAAATGGCTTACTAAGTGGGACGAATGAAATAACATGAAATTCACTGAAAAATGGTCTTGTTACATAATCAGCAAATTTACATTCCAGGAAAAACCGCATCAAAAGAAATTTACGCGAGAAAGACGGAGAATTTTTTTTATTTTTTATCATTTTCATGTTGCTCCGCTTGTCTTATATATCGAGTCGTAAAAGAAAAGTTTTGAGTACTCACATCTGACAAATGTATTTTCCGGCTCATTTTCTATCCGTAATAAGTGGGAAGAATCCGAGATTCTGAAAAGTCAATTATTACTTGAGGATTTCCTGGCTTTTAGGAAGTAGTAGCTGTCCAAGAATTTTTTTTT